TGTCTTTTACATCAAGTGCATATTGAAGGATTTTGCTCATTTTTCTTTTGTGCTATTTTGTTTTAAATAATTTGTAGAAGCTCTTTATAGCTTCTGGATCAAAATATTTTTGTCAGACATATGTGTTTTGAATATATTCCTTTTTACTCACTTAACAGAATCATCTGCTTAACAGAAGTTATTTTTAATAGAGCATACTTTATTTTTTTAATTTATAACTACTTCTTTAAGCATTTATGAAAACTTTGCCTTCCTTCAAATTGTGAAGATAATTTCCTTTTCTTCCAAAATGTTTACTATTTTGCCATTCATCTGAATATCTACTACCAGAGATAGGAGTCAACATTTTCTATTTCTATCCATTTGAATAATCGATGAATCCAAAATAAAATGTTGTTATTGTTGTTGACTGCCGTCAAGTCAAGCACGACTCATAGCAACCCTATGAACAAAAGACCTAATGCCTTCCCATAACTATTGTCATTTCTCCAAGTTCATAGAGTTTCCAGAGGCATGTGGTTTAGGAAGTGGACGCTACTCCTGCTTCCAAAAAGTAAAGAAAGGGCCAGTCTCAGGTGTACTAAGTAAAAAGATAAATAAGCAAGAAGACAGTATGAGGACAGTGGAAATCAATGGGAATTCATCCTAATGAAAAGAATGGTCAAGCCGTATGGTAGGGAGTTACCACTATCTTTTATATTCTCTTGCACAAAGTGGACACACAGTGTTGTGGGACACAGTTGAGGGCCTCTAGTGGTGGTGTTGATTCTGGAGTTAACAGTGGTGCGGGCAGGTGAGGACAATGGTGATTTTATTTGAGGTGGAGGGTTTGCCTCTAAGACTTTCACAAGGAGACAGCCATGGAGGACAGTCTGTCCTGTTATTCATGCCTGTTGGGAAAATCTTCTGTGTCCTTTTGGTCCTTCTTAACAGAAGTTACTGACTTGCTTCCAGGCTTGAGGAAAAAAGAGTGAACTATTGAAGAAGTCTCTGATGGTTCCTGCTTGGCCACAGTTCCCACCCCATAGACTAAGGGCTGTTCAAATGACTCTCTGCCCACAAACGGAGGCTTATCCTAGTGTGACTGATCAGGTCAAAATGAAATCCCCAGGACGGCGGGATAGCAAAATGCCGCGAATTCTACACAAGCATTGCCAAGCAGTTTTCCTCTCAGCACAACTGCACCACACATCATGAAAAGAAATGTATCCCCCTTCAGAATTGAGCTCATCTCTAGCTCACAATCACAAGGCTGCCTCTGTCCTTCCAGAGAACTTGGCTTTGTTAGCTCCTGGCTCTGAAACCAGGCATCCTCACTAAATGTCTTGTCCTTTGAGGCCTCAAGTGAACAGATGTGTGGATAGCCGAGAATCATGGCAGGGACCGATTTCTAGTTTCCTCTGTGTCCTTGGTATCTGGATCAAATAAGGCTTTCCTGCCAGTTGGGAGTTCAGAACACCAGGCTTCACTTGCGTAGGAACAATGCCTGGTGTGTTTCCCACATGGTCACACTGACACCCGTGTATGGTTTAGATTTCCCGAGCCTTGGCCTTATTGTTCACGTGAAATAAATAAATGAAGAATGTACTTGTTGCTAGCTGCCGTCAGGCTAGCTGCCGACTGGAGCAACCCACGGATAACAGAACGAAACATTGCCCAGCCTCATAACATCTCTGTGACTATTGCTTGGCCTGGATGTGTTGCTGTGGCTTCTGTGTATTTTGAGTGCTTCCTCATCTTACAGCAGTGTATCGGATAATATTCAGTTATAATCCATAGGTTTTCTTTGGCGGATTTCAGAAGGTAACTCCATTGGCCTTTCTTCCTAATACACAGTATTGTGGAAGTTCAGCTGAAACCTGTCCTTGCAGATTGCATTATATGAATTAGAAATTTGCCCTTGTGGATTGCAGTATTGGAAATGCCAGTAACATAGCTTCCTAGTATCATGAAAACAATCACCTTCTAATAAACTGACAGACAGGTGGTGGAAACAGATTAGAGAGGTAAGAGTGGTAATTCTAGCAGCCATACCCGTGGGCAGAAAGAAGTCACAAATTCTGGGTTTCTGAATTCAGATCAACTACACAAGGTCTTGTTGAATTAGTATTCTCCATTGGACTAGCAAGAGGAAAACAAGCCCACAGTCTTCTTCGGCATCTTATTCTGGTATTTAATTGTTCATAAAGCCAAAAGATCCCTCTATCTAACTAATTCTACAGGTGCAATCAAAGCCCTGTCTTCTTGTTGATTTTTATGAACAGATATTTCAGCCATCTTTTATTTGTCTGTGAAATGCTTCCTTATTCTTCTTTTCTTCAGGGGGCAACAAATAAACTTTGCTAATTTTTAAAAGAATAATTCTGGTTTCTTCTCACCTCTGGATATTCATAGGTGATACAGATGTCTACCACTTGGTTTTTTTCACAATTCAGAGGCAAAATTAAGATTGTCTATACTGCGTAACTTGTTGTTACTGGTTGCTACTGAGTCAGCTTTGCACACGACAGCCTTATGTCTAATAGAAGGGGCTTTTGTCCAGCTGTGCACCAACTTCATCCTTGCTATATTTCAGTTCATGATTGTGGCTTTGTGTAGTATCTTTCAGGCTCGTCTCTCAGCATAATATCCATATTCTCTTAAGATCCATAAGGCTTTCATTGGTTAATTTTCAAAGTAGAATTCCAGCCTTTTCTTAGTAGTCTGTCTTCAGTTGGAAGTTCTGGACAAACCTATGTGCTATGAGTAACCCTGTTTGTAATTGAAATATTGGTATTATAACTTATAGCATCACAGTCACACATAAGCCACAACAATAAGACAAACGAACACACTGATGATGAAGCCTATAAGTTAAGGCTGCCTCTCTACCTCGTTTGTTCCCATCACCAGGTAGACTGCGTCTGTCCTTTCATGGAACGTGTATTTTTGCTGTCGATAGTGCTTGTTGTGTCTGCAGACTTTCCATAATAATGGAATGGATTTGGGGCCTCTTCAAGTGTAAGCCGTTTCAGGGAAGAGTGACAATATATGCTTCACCAGTATTAAAAAAAGAGGGTTCCAGTTTCTCCAGCAAACTACTAAATACAGTATCAAAATTTATGCACACATTTTGTTTTATGTGATACAGAAGTACTTTTTTATGATTCTGGAGTTTATTAAGGAAGCAGTAGTACAACATTTAAGGAGCTCTGGTGTCCGAGTGGCAAGAAGCTGTGCTGCAATCCCAAAGGCATGCGGTTTGAGGCCACCAGCTGCTCCACAGGAGGATGGGCAATCTCCTCCCCTGTGATTAACTGTCTCTGAAAACCCACCAGAGGGTCAGCTATGGGTCAGTTTCAACTCGATGGTACACAACAACAACAGTGTGATGGTTAGGATTAGGAACAACTCAAGATACAGTTCTTCAGTCAGCAGACTAGTTAAAAGAAATATCGAGTCAATGTTGTCCCAAATGTTTGACCTGCTGTATAAATCCTTGATTTCTAACACCACCAGCTCCTCCTTTGTTCACTTCCCCAGCTCCTCTATGTCTCTTGGGTTCCATGTTTTGCTGGAAGGTCTCCCAGAGGTTTGCTGGAAGGTCTCCCAAAAACTCAGACTCATCAGGGGAATGACTTACGTGACTATATGTATGCAGGACTGTTTTTCAGAGACTGGTTGCAGACCATCCATTGAAAACAAGTGTCCCAGGATAAAAGATACAGAAGTGCTTTTATGAACACAGAAGTTCAAATAACAGTAAGAAAAGGAATATGCAAAAAGGTGCACTTATTTTAAAAAGTCTGCTTTGATTTTTTTTCCTATTTATTTTTTTGTAAGGAGCTCTTCTCTAATAGGTAGACTTCTTTAAAGACTTGTTTGTTTCATCTATCACTACTTCCTCTTCGAGAAGTCAGCCCCTTTGCAAAGCCAGTCATTGTTTCTCATGCTGTACATGATATTATTTCTAAGGTAAGATTCCCATCCCTTCCCACACCGATATCCTAACTTAGCTCTTTCCCCTTAAAACTCCTATATTAAATAGATCTTTCTTTTATTCTAGAGATAATTTAGAATTTTTTTTCAGCGATTGTAGTAGCTTTTTTCTATAGCTCAGCACAATCTACAGCTCTTCTGTCTGCTGAGAATCTGTGTCCCTCCAGAGGCTGGTGGAAAGAAAGACTTGAAATTATCAGCCAGTAATTCTAGTGAAGTGTGTTCCTTCTTTTTTGCTGGTCATCTGTGAGGCGAAGAATTGGTCAATGTGTGACTGTTTTAGAAAGTGGAATATGAGTAAGAACCAATGGCACTGAAGAAGGAAGTTCAACCTTCACTGAAGCCATTGATGAAAAACGGGCTCCAGAATTTGATAGAATATTAGTTTAAATGCTTCAGCAAACAAATGCAGCCCTAGATGTGCACAAGGAGATATGGAAGAGTGATACCTGGAGAACTGACTAAGGCAAAACAAACAAACAAAATTCATTCATTGTTGCATCACTTCCTCCTTCCTCCTGCCCCCTGCCCCAGTCTATTTTGCTGTGTACCTCTTATTCTATCTGGACTGTTGTCATACAGATAAAGCTTAATCATATATTCCTTTTAAACAGTTCTTTCCTTCATCTATTTCAGTACAGTGTTCATTATTTATCCCCTTTTTTCTCAGTTTTCCTCCAAACCCCTTATCAGTCCTGTTTTATAACAGTGGTGTTATACAGTATTTATCCTTTTGTGACTGAGATATTTCACTCAGTATAATGTCCTTGATGGTCACCCATGTTGTGTAATATTTTGTGGGTTCCTTGTTTTTCAGTGCTGCACAGTATTTCGTTGTGTGAATATACCATAGTTTTTCTATCCATTCATTTGTTAATGGGCACTTGGGTTGCTTCTATCTCTTTGATATTGTGAATAACGCAGCAATAAACATAGATATGCTAGATTTGTTAGAGTGAAAGCTCTGGTTTCTTTAGGCTGGAATAATTGAAAAACTGACACCTTGAGTTGCAATCCTGAAGAATTTTATGGGCAGAATCTTGACTGGTACAGGAAACATCAAAAGAAGGTGGAAACTTCTGCCATTTCAGTTTTAATATTCTGGATTGCATTTCCACATATTCCTATTATTTCCAGTACAGTGTTGACTATATCCCTTTTGTCTTGTGTTGATTTTTTTTAAGTTCTTTTACCTCTTTATCTATAGTTTCAATACTTTCTCCCATCTTTTGTCGTTTCTTCCATGGACTAATGTTCTTCCACATGGATATAGTTCTTCTTGAGCCCTCTCTCTGGAGTATTCATTTTATTTATGGCTTAAATCTTTCTTCCATCATTTGCACCTTCTTCCATAGCTGTTCTTTAAATTCTAGATCAATATATTTCTTCAGGTTCACTGTATTTGGAGTATTCACTTTTTTATTACTTCAATTCTTTTTTCCATCATTTTTGCCTTCTTCAGTAGCTGTTCATATGAATCTACATCAATCTATTTCTCCTGCCTCATTATCTCTTATTACACAATTGGTCTGCAATATGCTGTGCTTTTTTTAGACGAAGGCTTATTTTGTTTTTTTCACAATGTTTAACGCTTCCTACTGCTTTCTTGACTTTATGTGAAGTTTTTCTTGATATGGGTTAGGCTGTTTCTATTTTATCTGTAACAGTACATCAACAGGGAAATGCCACGAATTCAAGCTGAATTCAGAAGAACACATGACATGAGGGAGACCATTGTTGATGTCGCATAGTTCTTGGCTGAAAGCAAAGAGTACTAGGAGATGTTTACTTGTGGCTATGCAAGGGCATTTGACAATGTGGATCTTAACAAATTATGAATACAATTTAGAGAAGAATGGGAATCCTAGAACACTTCATGTGCTCACACAAAATATATACGTAGACCAAGAAGCAGATATCAGAACAAAGGAAGACAGTTTGATTTAAAAATCAGGAAAGGTGTGCATCAGAGCTACAACCTTGCTCTATCATTATTTAGTCTTTGCTGAGCAAACAAATAATTCAAGAAGTTGCCCTATATGGAGAAGAATGCTTTTCTCTAACACCCAAGCAAGACATCAATTTTTCTTCTGTCATTCTTACTCATTGTCCAGCTCTGAGATGCATAGGAAGTTATTGAACTGACTATGGCTTGAATCAGGCACATGCTGGTCTTCAAACTGATATCGCTGCTTCTCAGTATTTTGAAAATGTTCCTGATTGCAGACTTTTCCAGTGCAATACATCTGATCTCCTGGCTTCTGGCACCAAGTGTGTTGATTGTGGATCCAAGTAAAAGGAATTTTTTGATAGGTTCAATCATATCTCCATCTGTTATGATGTTTTTTTATTGGTTCATCAGTGAGAATTTTTATGTTCTTGGTGTTGAGATGTAATCCATATTGAAGACTGTAGTCTTTGATCTTCTGCAACAAGTACTTCCAGTCCTCTTCTACTCACTTTCAATAAACAAGATTGTGTCATGTGTATAATGCAAGTTGATGATGAGTTTTCTCTGATCCCAGTGTCACATTCTTCTTCATAGAGCCCAACTTCAATGATTTGCTCAGCATACAGATTTAATAAGCTTGGAAAGAAGATACAACCCTGGCACTCCTGTCCTGATTTTAAACCATGTTATATTCCTTTGTTTCCATTCATGATCTATGTAGGCTTCACATGAGCACAATTAAGTGTTCTAGGATTCCCATTTTTATAAATGTTAGCCATAGTATGATATGATCCAAATAGTTAAATGCCCTTTTTTTATAGTCAATAAAATGTAAAGAGGCATTCCCAAGAAAAGTGACCCAACAAAATGTGGAAATTATCAAACACTATCATTACTATCACATGCAAGCAAACTTTTCCTGAAGATCATACAAAAACAGCTAGAACAGTATACTGACAGAGAGCGGTCAGAAGTTCAGGCTGCGTTTAGAAGAGGCTGTGGCATCAGGGATATCATTGCTGATGTCAGATGGATCCTAGCTGAAAGCAGATAATACCAGAAGCATGTCTGTATGCTTTATTGACTTTGCAAAGGCATTTGACTGTATGAATCAAGCCATGGTAGTCTCAGCTGCTTCCAGTACTTCTGAAAGTTGGACAGTGAAAAGGAAAGACCAAAGAAGAATCATTATCTTTGCATTGTTGTCTTGGTAAAGAGTGTTTAATATAATACTGCCTGCCGAAAGAAAAAAACAAATCTATGTTGGAGTAAGTGAAAGGATAGTGAAATTTGGTCTCACATGCATTGGGCATGTTAATGTTAACAGGAGGGGCTAATCCTTGGATATAGACAATATGCTGGGAAAAGTAGAGGGTCCATTTAAGAGAGCGCAACTCTCAAGGAGAAGATTGATACCACTTAAACAATGGGCTGGCACATAGCAGAGATTGTGAGGATGGTGCATGATAGGGCAAGGTTCATGTCTGTTGTTCCCAAGGTTGCTGCAAATCTTACCACAGAAACACATGCATATTTCAAATAGATTGTGCCCTGATTGGCTGTCCCTTTAAATTTGACTTGCAAATAGATTTTCTCTCACCTGCTTCTACTGATTTACTGGGCTTCAGTCAGTTTGCTTCCTGAAAGATTTATATAGCCTTGTAATTAATTCCTACAGAACAGCTCTCCCCTCTCCAGCAGGGACCTTGTGAACTGGAATGGACTCCAAGCAGTAGGTTTTATTTCATTTTCATCCGAAAGCATGCTTTACCTGAGCAGCAATGTCTATTCATCCATATTGCAGTAGTATCTTCCTAACGCCACAAAGCCATTCTCACATTTATCGGGAAGAATAAGCTAGCAAAAATAACTGAGAGCTTGTTAACAATAATCTGATTTTACTATGGAAAACATTAACATACACTGCAACATGAGATAGTCTATCTGTGAGTACCAGAATTTGATGGAACTGTCCTGTGTTCTCACCTGTTTCCATCTTTGATAGGTGACAGGCTTAACCACTTTTCTATCACTTTTGTTTACTGGGGAAAAATAAATGGATTTTTTTTTCTTCTCTGAAAAGTACACCATCTCAAGTAGGCTCTGACTTTCCCTTTATTTTACTATAATAAATTAAACAATATGATAGCTGGACCAAAGAACACCAAGCCATTGGAAAGAAATCATGCACTAATGTTTTAAAAACTTAATGCATGCAGAAATACTTTTAACATTTGTTACTGCAACACCTGGGAATTATGAAGATGTTTTGTGTAATATCTTGATATTTTGTTAGATACAGTTGTTTATAAGAAAGGTAATGAAAGGACTTGAGATATTTTAATACATTTTTGATATTGCAACATATGCCAGTTAAACACCACGGAGACACTTAAAGCTTCTAGTTTTCCTGTTTGTGTCAGAGTTAAGACTGTGCTGCATGGGATTTTTAGTAATTGAATTTTTTGGACTAGATCATAAGGCTTTTCTTCCCAGGCACCTCTGGGTGAACTCAAACTTCTTATGTTTTTTAAGCAGCCAACCAGTTAACCATTTGCACCATTCAGGGGCACAAATCAAGCATAATTATGTATAATATTCCAATTCACTAGAGAAAAACTGACATGGGTTTTATTTTTACAGCATTGTTGATTCAAAAAGCCAAACTAGGCCTACTACCATTGAGTGGAGCCCAGCTCATAATGACCCTTCACTGAGTTTCCAAGGGGGTAAATCTTTCTTTTGAGGTGTAACTGATATATTTAAATTGCTCACTTTTCAGTTAACACCCTGACACGTTGCACTACGCTGTTCAAGCTCCTTATTGTTGATTGGAAATAAAAAAAAGCAAAACTGGCATCGCACATACTTATGCCTGATTCACTTTACTCAGCTGACTCTCTCTCTCTCTCTCTCTCTCTCTCTCTCTATATATATATATATAATACACACACAAATATAATCATCGTAACAAACCTATGAGGCAGATGATCTTATTAGGCTTCATTTGATAAAAGAGCCATGGTGCCTTAGTCAATAGGAAGTTGCGCTGCCACATCAAACGTGCCTCCTCCCTGGTGTTTGGATCCACCAGCTGCTCAGAGAAAGATGGGCAACCTCGACCAGTGCGATGAGGCAGCTGCAGGGCAATGAGCTTTTTAGTTTTGACTTTTCACTTGATTAATGAGGAATCTGAGGTATGGAAGAAAGCAACTCCATTTTTCCTCACTTTTTCATCTCCAGAGTAATATATCATATGGTCATCCGACTGAAAATGCCCCATGCCAGTCCATCTCATCTCACCAATGCCTAGTATGTCAATATTTATGCATTCCATTTCTTCCTTAACAATATTTAATTTTCCTACATTCATGGTTCTCACATTCCATGTTCCCATCACCAGTGTCTGCTTACAACTGTTCCTCTTCCTTAGGCCATGTCAGTGTACATCAGAGAAATGGTGGTTCCGTGACGGAATGATATTGATGCTACTGTAACAATGATAATGGGTCTGTTTTCAACCATGGTAATAGCCGCCACTATCATATGACTTCTTGAGAGCAGTGGTGGTTCAGTGGTAGAATTTTCACCTCCCATGTAGAAGACCTGCTTTCAATTCCTGGCCCAGGACTCATGCACAGCGACCACCACTGGTTGGCCACTTGGGTGGTGGACCTATGCATGGTGCTATGAGGATGCTAACAGGTTCCACCAGAGTGCCCAGGCTAAGAGACACTAGGAGGAAAGGCCTGGCAATCTATTTCCAAATATTAATCAGTGAAAACCACATAAATCACAAGGTTGGATCTGTAGCAGCAGATCATGATGATCAAGAAGTGTTTCCTTTCTCTGTGGATGATGTGGACATAAGTTGGAGGCTGACTCAATGGCGATTCCCAATCTAACAGTTTAAAGTCTGAGAAGTGGTTCATTGCTGTCTCTAACACGCCCCTTTCCTGTTCTCAGGGACCTGATGCCGAGGACCCTGGAAGGGCAGATCACCATGGAGAAGACGCCCAGTTACTTCGTCACGCAGGACGCACCTGCGCGCATCTCGGCCATGTCCAAGGACACCAAGCTCATCGTGGTGGTGCGCGACCCGGTGACCCGAGCCATCTCGGACTACACGCAGACGCTGTCCAAGCGGCCGGACATCCCCACCTTCGAGAGCCTGACGTTCCGGAACCGCACGAGCGGCCTCATCGACACGTCCTGGAGCGCCATCCAGATCGGCCTGTACGCCAAGCACCTGGAGCACTGGCTGCTGCACTTCCCGCTGCGCCAGATGCTGTTCGTGAGCGGCGAGCGGCTCATCCGAGACCCGGCCGGCGAGCTGGGCCGCGTGCAGGACTTCCTGGGCCTCAAGAGGATCATCACCGACAAGCACTTCTACTTCAACAAGACCAAGGGCTTCCCCTGCCTCAAGAAGGCCGAAGGCAGCAGCAAACCGCACTGCCTGGGCAAGACCAAGGGCAGGACCCACCCCGAGATCGACCCGGACGTGGTGCGGAGACTGCGGGACTTCTACCGGCCCTTCAACCTCAAGTTCTACCAGATGACGGGCCATGACTTTGGCTGGGATGGATAACAATATAATTTAAAAAGAAAAAATATTGAAATATAATATATTTTTGTACCAATTGGTAGAAAAGAGGCGTTTTAATATTTGTGCTGACATTTGCTTCAGTATTTTTTTTTGTCTGATGAATGTTAAGGAATTGTTTTCACCTGTACTCCTATCTTCATGCATAACCAACACCAAACATTTCGGGGGAGGGAAACTTAACTCATTTAAATGATCTCAGTTCTCAGTGTTTATTTCCTCTATTGCACACATGGTTGTAAAGGATGAGGATCAATTGTCATTAAAAGTTTTGTAATATCGTCAAAAAAAAGAAAGACATGGAGAGGTTTGTAAGAATTATAGACCAAAAGAAAAAAAAAGTTTAAGAAATTTCTGAAAGTAAACACCTCTTTAAAAGTATCTTGATAAAATTGAAATCTGTCCATAGATGTTATCTCCCTTCATTTTTTTTTCTTGTGCTCCTTTCTTAAAGAGTTTCCCACAAAATAATATGATGTGTTTATACATACACCCTTTAAGCCAGATAAGTGATCTCTAGACAAAATTCTGTCTCCCTCTTGTCTCCATATCTCATGCCACTTTCAGGGCCCAATAGGAAATAAAGGTACTTTAGTCTCTAGAAATGATCAGCTAGTTTGGGGACGATCTAAAACATTATGGAAAGGGTTTCTGTTCTTTGTAAGGTCCAAAGCACCCTTGTGATACACAATCTCATTACATTGTTGAGATAGTACTCACGGAAACCTCAGGGGTTCAGATGTGACAACTTTTGTTATGTGCTGTTGAGTCAGAATCATGACTGACCCTCCAGTGGGTTTTCAGAGCCTGTAAATCTCATGGGAGGAGATTGCTCATCTGTCTCTCATGGAGCAACTAATGGATTCAAAACTCTTGCAAGACACGACAACTTTTAAGGGTCAATCTTGTCTTATAAGAGTATCCAGTGATAGGAAGTAGTAACTGTGATAAAAATTGAGACAAATTGTTAGATTCTTGTGTTGGGAACAAGACCTCTCTTTTAGGAAGAGGACAGATCTGTTAAGAGCATAATTTACCCATTTGTCATCTTTTTAAAAAGAAGAAAATTCCTGTCAATAAGAGCTTCGAAGTTGAAATCTTTTTCTTCACCTCTTTTTAAAGAAAGACTATCTGCATCCCTTCATATCTAGTTTCTGACCTGGGGAATCATACCTATTAACAATTCATTTGTAATGATTTCTTTTGCGTGAAGGGAGAACTTTCATTCTGTCACTTTATTCACCCCCCCTTCTCTACTCATTCTGGTAATAACCCAATGTCCATTAATATTTGTAAAATATTCTGAGAAATATTGATTTGGCGAAAGTCTTGCTCAGTCATCTTCTCTCAAGCAGTCCTGCCCATCCCCCACTTAAATTACTCAAATAAATCAATAGTTTATTAAGAATATTCCTTTCCTCTCTGAGTGGGCATTAACAAGATTAGCATTAATGAGAATTAAATTGGTTTAGAGAGAGCACATATGCACGAAATGCATAAAACATTTATAATTAGTCTGCCAGCAGCATTTTATTACAGGTTCAAACCCAAGAAGAAAATGTCTGCTATCTCAAAGAAATACCCTATGTCTGCCAAAATTTAAAGAACCAGGCACTGTAATCCTCTAAAGCAATATTCCTTTTTCTTCTCAAAAATTGTCAATAAGAAGATACTAAAATTATTTTAAAAATCTACGTTCAGTTGTACACTTACCGTAGATGCTATGTTGTTGTTTGTTGTGTACTGTTGAGTCGGAACCAATCCATAGCTGACCCTCCAGCAGGTTTTCAGAGGCAGTTAATAGCACAGGAGGAGATTGCCCAACTTTCTCCCATGGAGCAGCTGGTGGCCTCAAGCCATGTGCCTTCAGTATTGCAGAGCAGCGTCTTGCCACTAGGCCACCACCAAGAGGCTATAGTCTGTGATAAATAGCTTATGGGAAACATAATGCATTAGGATTGAATTGAAGGAAAAATCCCTTGTATGTTTCCAAATATTTTCTTGTTAATCCAGATCTTTTAATTTATTCCTCAATATCATATTTAGCACAGACAAATAAACCCAGATCCACACAGCCTTTCCCAGTAGCTTTCTTTCACCACATGCCCTCCAATCTCCAGCCACAGCCATGGTTTTGATCATCAATAGCTGCAACGAAACTAATTTTACTCTCTTCCTAGCCTTTCTCTTAGTTGATTTTATTTGTTCTTCTGATTTCTTTTTGCAGGTATTTATTTGGCCTTTTGTGAGAGCAGTGTGTGTAAAGGAACAAACACATCTAATAATTGCATTTCACTACTTAGTCTTTTTATAGGGCAGAAACAATAAAAGAACAGGATTTTCTATCAAGGCCTTTATTTCACATAGATTGTTTAAAAATATACATTATAGTACTTACTAATGATTACAGCAGGACTCCAGGAAAAACTTCTAAAATTTACGATTTCATCAGAATGCTAAAAGTTACAAATATCTACTTAGCATAATATGTCACTGTTCCACAACAAGAAGATCCATTTGTGCGTCTACGTGGCACTCAATCCTCTCCTGCTATGTTTGTTATTGGCCTCACGTTTCTTTTCAAAACTGCTGTCCATGTTGGTGGTTATGGTGTTATGTGCCATTGAGTCAGAACCTACTCACATTAAGATCTGCATTAAGAGGTTGTAAATTGCACGGGAGATTATCCATCTTCTGTGGAACAGCTGGAGGATTTGAACCATTTTCCTTTAGGTTGGCAGTACAACTACTTACCTAATAGGCCACCAGAGCTCCTATGGTCCATGTAGTTCTGTCAAACAAATGTGATAAATATGTGGGGTCCGCTTTCGTTCATGTGACCCCATGTGTGCAGGATATACTTGTACACCATAGAATTTTCAGTAATTGATTTTTTTTTTAAGAAGTTGTTCTCCAGACCATTTTTTTTTGGCTGATTTTTTGTTGTTGGTTTTTGTGGGGGGCTTTTTTACAACATAGTATTTCCATTTAATTTTTCCCCCATTCATTCATTGTTGCACATTTTCCTCCCTTCCTACCCCCTCCAGTTCACTTTTCTCTTTGAAAAGAAAAAAAAAATTACTGCAATACTGATTTATTTACAAAGTTTTAATACATTGGGGTTTTTTTAAATAGAAGATCCTTCCCATTTCCTTCACCCCCCATTGAATTTTGCAACCCTATCATTAACACCCTATTCCTCTGCCCATCTTCACCACTCTGCTTCCACCCTCACCCTCACCCCTAGGATCCTCATACTTATTCTACAATAATGGTTTTATGCATGTTCTGTCCTTGTGGGACTGAGTTCACTCAGCACAATGCTCTCCAATCCCTCCCAAGTTAGGTAGTAATTAACAAAATCATTGTATAGTATTCCACTGTGTGAATGTCCCACAACTTTTCAACCTGTTCATTTGTGGTTGGGCATCTGGGCTATTTTCATGTTCTTGCAGTAGGGAATAACACTGCTATGAACACTGGTGAGACACCTCCAATTGGACTAAAAACACTAATCTTCAAATTAGCCTCTGAGATGGTTAACTGTCCAATCTGCAGCGCCAGGATAGATGGAGAAAGTTGAAGTTGTTAACAATTTCAGCTTACTTGGCTCCACAGTCAGCACTCTTGTCACCAGCAGTCAAGGAATCAAAAGATAAAATGCTTTAGGGAAAACTGCTGTCAGAGACCTCTCCAGAGTGCTGAAAATCAACCATGTCAGTCTGGAGACTAATTTACACCTGACCCATGTCATGGTCTTCACAATTACTTTCTATTCATGAAAGAGAGCTGGACAATGACCAAAGATGACAGAAGAATTGATACCTTTGAATTGTGGTTCTGGAGAAGAGTATTGAACATATCATGGACAGCCAAGATTGCAAACAAGTTTATGCTGGAGAAGGTAAAACAAAGTTTCTCCTTGGAGGAAAGGATTTTGAAGCTCTGTCTCACATACTTTGACAAAGAGGGACAAGTCCCTGGAAAAGGAAATCATGTTTGGAAGGTGGAGCGACAGTACAGAAAAGGAAGACCCCAAATGAGATGGGTTGACACAGTAACTGGGATAATGGGGACAGATGTGTCAGAGACAGACTGGCTCAGAATAGAACAGAGTTCAGAGCTATTATACATAGGGTTGCTATAAGACACAGTCAACCCAATGGCACACAACAACAAGAGCTCGCTTATAAAGACTATATTCCTGTAACAATTTGTATTCTAAAATGCATTATGTTATTGTAAGTCATCATAAACTCTCTACTCTCCTTCATACAGAGAACAAAGCCCCCCCCTTTTATTTCTTCAGGGTCATTTGAGAATACCTGGAGACATTTGTTGTATCCCACCCCCAGTTGGGAGGTGGGGAGGCTGCTGTTATTATCTTAGTGACAGATACGAATGATGCTTCTCAACACCCAGAAGTGCACAGTGAAACTCCTGAAGAATCTTCCTACCCAAAATGTCATTCACGAAAAAGTTCCTAGATTAACAGGTACATCAGTCACAAGTAGCATGTGTCTGAACCTGGTCCAATAACCAGATTCTATTCATATTTGACTGACAGTTCTGTCACTTCATCACTCTGTATTTTTCTCTTGAAATCTTTTTCTCTAATGAGTCTGCGTCAGAGCTCTGCTTTGTCAGGAATAGAACTGAAGAAGCGCTTCTCACGCCTCACTGAGTTGGAGTTTTACAACTCGGGCACAGAAGCGGCTTGTAAGAGATGTGAAATGGCAGATATGGGAGGCAGTCCACTTCAGACAGAGACTTACTGTTCCAATATATTTCTAAAAGCCTTTTCAAGCTCAACTCTTGTGTTTCTATTTGCTTTTGTGACAATTCCATGATTTCTTTTTTTGTCGCCAGACACAAAGTTGTCAAGAGATTGAAACAAACATGTCCATTTGTTTGGAAGATAAATTCCAATGGATACACTGTAGTTAACATATCCTTCATGCTGAATAATAATATTTTCTACTTTC